TGTTGAAATTTTGTGAACTTATTTGAGAAATTAATTGAAATGTTCAAGTTTGGTGTGAATTATTTTAGGCGGGAACTTGTCTTTTAATTTACTTGCCGCTATCAGCAGGCAACAGGCTGGCAGCTATACAGCGGACTGATAAGGAGTTATTGACTAAACTCGCAAGAAGCACGTACGGCCACCCTGACATGAATAATCAGGAGAGGTGTGAACTGCCTTGTAAAATACACAATATCTAACACCAATAGAAGTACTTGGGCGACTATACGTTGAACTTTGCTTGAGTGCTCAAATCTTTTCATAAGTTATTTTTGGTATTTATTCAGCTCTCGGAGGCATACCAAACAGGGATACTGAAATCATATTTGTGAAGTTAGGGTGTTTGATCATAAATTGTACTAATCCCCAGTTTGACAGTGTGCTTAATCCATTGGATGGTCACCTGACAACCTCAATGAGTGGGCACGCACAAGAGATTGTGGTTTCTAGCAGATGTCTAATCTCGCTGCTCATGCATGTATGTATGTATGTAGGTGTGTCATTCTGTAGCCCGTGTACGTATGCTGAACGTACTGGATTAGTGAGAGCTCCCTGCTCAAGCTGACTTATTCAACATTCTGTCTGATCAAAATTCAGTAAGTTTGCATAAAAAAAATGTTTCTGCTTATTTATTAATTATAATCATAATGCAGGCTCTATTTCGATTTTTTTTGTCATAGTTTCACAAGATTTGTCGAACACCTGTGTTTATATTTACGCATAGCTTTGTGGTGATGTAGTCCACCCATATTGCCAAAATGGCATTCTTCGTTTTATGCGACACACAATAACTCGATTGTTGACATCACTGTACTTAGAACACTGATCAGCAACACGCTGGTGGCGGTAGGAACACGTAATATGAATTATTTATCTATCACTCGGCTCACCCTGCTGGTGGGACTTTTTATTTTCTTCTGGTTTTTTCTCCTTATTTTGGTAGACAACACATGTTGGCTTTGGTAACATTTAGCACCTCATTAAGCCCCTGATAGCTGTTGAAAATAGAGCAGAGCAACAGATTAATCATTGTGTTTTATCCAAAGTGTCATGTCATTGAACACAGGTGCAAACCCATCACAGTCCACTCCATTGCTTGACTGCACACCATTGTGATGCCAGCAAATCTCACCAAAGGACCACATTTCTCATATCTTAGTCGGCTCAAATCAACCCTGCACAAGAAACTTTACGAAAATTCTGCATCTGGTGTGTTGTCCCCCTCTTTCTCGCCTTCTCTTTCGCGGCCTTTTCATCTGAGACTATAGCAGCGGAAGCTCAGTCCAAGGATTAGACATGTGCAAAGTCTGACAGGGACACAAAGTGAATAAATCAGTGCCAATGTATAATCCTTCTGATTTGCAGCTTTCCAATGGCGTTTGTAGTTGACATATTTGCCGTGTGCCTCACCTGTGCGGCTTTTATGGTTTTGTCTGCACTGTAAACAATCTGAGTCCTTTTCAACTAACTTCCCTTGACACTATCCAATCTGTTTCATTGCGCCCTTTCTCTTCCAACTGAAAAGGTCTACAGTGCGCTTTCTCTAACGTGGTAAGTTTTTTTTTCTTCCTCTCACTTGTAGATTTTCCACCATGCTTTTGTGCCTAATCTCTATTCTCTTTCTCTATAGTGTGTAATGTTTTTTTTTCTCTGTTTTTCCCTTTTTTGTGCACTACATCAGGGTGCATTCCTATATACTATTATAGGTGTGACTCGATTAGTGACCCCGTTCCAAAGCATTGGGATATAATAGCATTGCGGTAACTGATCCTCTAGTCCTGATAGTTAATAGGTCAGGATGCTTTCAATTGAATAATTTTAATTATAATGCCCAGGTAATATGTCACTCAAAAGAGATTGGGTCAGACATATGTAGTTGCACATTAGTTGGTAGCAATCGGTCTCACTGATTTGTTTGTCATATTTACTTGTTACTGAGTTCACTGGGCGAAAACTCCAGGGAGCATTGCCACTGCTATGATTTCATGTTTCTCTCACAGGTTAAAGGAAGTAACGTAACCTTGAGTTATTTTCTGCTTTTTTGATGAAAGATGACTTCCTCTGCGATTGGACATTTTTTTTTATTAAAGTTCGCATTCTGAAATGGAGCTAACATATACAGTAGTAATTTCCTCAGGTGTTAGCAGAAGACTTTTTTTTCATTGTTAAAGTCACGATTTTTGTACAATTCGCGCTGTTAATTTCCAGGTTTCAGTTAATGAAGTGTTACAATTATGATGAAATAAAACTCATCATTGTTATCATCTTCAGTGGCACATGCTAGAGCTCCAAGCTCCATGCACTGGGAGGAAATGCTGTGTTTGATTACTTGAAATTACAATGGGTACCCGGATATTATTTGTAGCTATAATTTAACAGAGTACTAAACTTTCTACCTCAGTCAAAAATAGTTTTAAGATAAGAAATACTGGTACCATCGTATTTCATTCTACCATGTTGGTTATTTCTTTCCTCCAGTTACATCAGATGGCACACTGCTTGTCCTATTGCTGAAACACTGAAATAACAACTAAAAGTATGTGATAAATTCCAGTAAAAATATCAGACCTTAATAGCTGCTAATGTATATGATTTTAAATTTTTTTTATTATATTAGTCAACCCCCCCCCCCTCCCGCTATTAAAAAAATAATGGCCTCCTGATAAGCATGAAGATGTTTGGTGTTGAGATTGCGCCATTAACAATATAATCTAAGTCCCACACAGATTGTAATGTGTATGTGATGAAAACAACAAGTTTGTTGTTTTGATTAGTAAAGTTTGTTGTTTCAATGGGTAACCTGTTGAATCAGTTTGTCCATTCACCTGACAATTCAAGCCTCATCGTTGAGTTAAAAAAAAAGTGCATGAAAAAATACTTCAGTGCTGTTTTCAATGATTTCTTTCAATAAGGTTTGAATTTTTTTTTTTTTTAAGTTTGCTTTACAACTCTGGTATGTCATACAACTGCTATGTGGACTTTAGTACATTACCAGGACAATTGATACACTTGTGTTAATGTCCTTCGCCAACATCATACAGCAGGATTGCTTCCCCAAATCACTTCACCTTGTGCAGCCATTTTACTGAGCGTATGCAAGTATACGAGTTTCGTGCTTGTTTTTCTACTGATCGGCTTGAATTCACGGTATGTGGTATGTGTTAAAAGCTGTTTTTCTTTTCAACTAGAGTGTGTGATCGAGGTCTGTACTCTGTGTCAGTACTGCGTCTTAGTATCACAGGTATGCTGTGTACATACGTCTTAAACACTCCAGATTACCTTTCCTGTTTGACTGTGTTTGAGATCTCTGCGCCACTAACTTGTTTGTTGCTTCGCTTTATCTCCGTTAGTTGTCTCGGCAGTCATCGGCAAGCGACAACTATTGTTTTATGTCAAATTATTCTGAAGCGTACTTTTAAAATAAGACAAAAAGTTTCAATGTTACGTATATTTATGTTTTGTTTTATTCTTTTGGCTTAGCTAGATCAACTATAATCTTCTCAGGAAATAAATGCGTAACAAAGTTGTTTTGTGTTTTTACGTTGGCCTGTTTTCAACTTCCTGAGCCCCCCTGATAAATAGGGTTCTAAGTGTATGTATGATAGCCGACCACATCTGGTATTGATATACTGTCATGTTCCGTCAATACTTGAATTGCACCTATATTTAGATTGTCCAGAAGATTGGCACAGGTGGGCTGCTGTGTATATAGATAATAGATTCTGCGTGGCAAATAACCCAATCGTTAGGCAAATACACGATTCTTTACGTTTAGTAATCGCCATCAGGTGGTTGCCAGATTTCAGCCTTCCAGTGATCAATATCCATCTAGGTCTCACTCTGTCAATATAAAGTTGATACCGCAGTGTGTAAGGGCAAACAATACAGGTGGACCATTCAAGGGTATGGAAGTCAGGAGCAAAGTTGGAGAGCTGGTAGAGCCAACAGTACCACCACCGTGTTGATGCTCAATTACCTTACGGTAGCGACTACGTCCTTATCAGGTGATTTATCATTATTCTTCACAAAGGTCTGTAGTATTGGCGAGCATTTTCTTGTTGCTGCGGAATTCCTACCAAAAGTGTTTCACCTATGAACTTTTCTTGTCACCTTGGTAAATGCAACATCAGGGGTGAACAATACAAGGAGGGCGGGTGGGTGTTTGTAGCTTACATTTATATTTATAAGTTTGATAAGATCATGCGAACATTTAAATGGTGTCAGAAATGCTGACATCTTTAATTGTTCGCTTTGGTGGCTGTTTTTTTTTTAAACTTGATTAGCGGAGAAAAAAAGGAGGGATGAGAGAGAATAAGAGATTGATAAGCAGGTGTTAACGCTGTAAATAGGCAGGCTAAATAGAATACTAGCCAGCTTGGGATGAATGAAAATAATTCACTCATAGTAAGGTACACAAGTATTGGCTTTTGTACAGGAGTTACTACTGTTTGTCTGCAAGACAAAAGCTGCGATATGCAGGAGAGACGGTGAAAGCATGGCCTCATTTGCATGAGGCTCGGCCTTTGTGTTCGTGTTGAGAAAATACAGAAATGCTACAAAGTATTTATAGTGTTTGGCACACAGCTAAAAGTGTCAGGACAAATTGTTGGAAAAATATTTGCCCATTGGGCTTGTTGTTTCTCGTCCGCAGAACACAGCTGTAGAGGAGCACACTCTGGTCACTCGGTGATTAACTTTGCTTGGGAAAAGTGTTATGGTAATTGTTACTGTACGTGACAGAACCACACTCGGGGAAATTTAGTATTGTGTGCAGGGTGACAAAGAGTGAATGAAGTATTTCTCCTGGAAACCTTTATGCCGAGAGTGCGGGAGAATTTTCATTGAAATGTGTTCATATTGGGATTTTGTTTTGTCGTGGTTTGTTCACATATCCAGGGAGTAGCCAATGAGACAGTTTAAGTCATCTTCCAGCATTGCTGTCAGTTACACTGCATATTGCAGTGGTTGCAAAGCCCGACTTGGGTGGGTGAATACATTTTAATTATTTATGCTAATAATAGTGTTCCAAATAGCAATGGTAAAAATCACCATGCAATCTGTATTAGCTCATTGCTTGGCAGCCCGACAGCTCTCTGCTACTCGATGTCAAAAGGTATTTTTGCTATAGCTACCCATTTTCACTCACTCTTACCTGCATTTTTGACCCAGTGCTTTACATCCAGTGTCCTTTATATTTTTTTAACAGTAGGTTTTTTTATATGCCATACTGTTTTTTTCTTCCCTTTTTACCGAACTTCAAATGCGTCAGCTCAAATTTCTATACAATTGTAGGATTCTGGACTCATTCCAAGCAATTAATTGGGTCGTGTAACTTTTTTTTTTTTTTTTATATTTTAGACAGCCAAGTAAATGAATGTAATTATCTCTTAATATGCTTGATATTTTTGTAACTTTTATTTTGCCACCACCATATTAGTTTATATTTCCACAAAGTATTCACCGTGAAATTGAAGCAATAGATATTTGAGGAAGATAGTTTCATCTTTTCCCGCAGGTCTCTTGGTATTTACCAATTTATGTGGCAAATCCTCAAAGGAGGAAAAACAATTTAGTGGAAATTTTCTCTGATTGTTGTATTTTGAAATTATGCTTGATTTGTTATTCCTGTGAGGTTTTCTCAAGTGGACAGATCCGCCCAGTGTCTACTCCAAACATTTTTTTTTTTTTAGCTCAAACTGGCTAATGATGTTTCAATGCCCAGTTTCCCTGCTGTAGTTAATATTATTCCTGAGAAATTACATTTTTGTTCTCTAATAGATTTTCAAACACTTGTGTATAATACATGCTAGGTAGAATTCGTTTTTAAAATGTGAATTTTTTCTTTGGTGTATTTCATTATAATGCAATACATGGAGTACATGTAAATGTATGTATGGCATGTGAGAGTTTGGTTTTGCAGGTAATACCATATACATGTACAAATGTTTTCTGAGTTACTCTGGAAATTTAAATGTGTGATGCAGCGATGGGAATGTATTCAATATTTCAACGCCTGCTGTATGAGTGTGAAAAATGGGTTGGCTATATTGACGATGTTTTTGGATTGCCTCTCAAATCAGTTATTAGTGTGGGGGTGCCCCGGAGAGCTCCGGAAGGTGACAGAAGACGAACATTGAAACATCAGCTAATTGAACAATGGCTGGTCTGTCTTACCCCAGTACACAACAAATTGCTTCTATCAATTTCAGATATTACTGGTTATAGATGAATAAACCCTCTAGCTGATCATCTAATTAGTGCCTATTTTTCTGCCAGCCTCGCATGTACCCGCTGCCACCCCATGGGGTCATTAGGTTGAATAAAGCCTTCCACCGCAAAAAAATAGTGATTTGCTGCAGTCTGCCGCAGTTGAAGCGTCTATGAAACCAGAAAATCACAGCGACTTCAATCAAATATTTCCAAAATAGTGATTTCTGGATAAATTAATAATTTTCAGGCCATTGAGAACAATAACCCAATCAGTGCAATCTTTTACCTCAAAACGCTCCCCCCCCCCCCACATCCCCATGAACATTGCCATCCGTTAAACTTAATAAGTGTTGCTGAAGAACCAATTCAATCAATTCAGTTAGATAAGGTGGCAAAACAATGGCTATAGTTTGTTATGAATAGCCAGCTTTGACTCGAATTGCATGTACTCTGCGATAACTTATCAGTGATCATTATTTATGACATAAGAATATATTGGTTCTTGTCACCGTCATGCATGAGCTAATTCTTGATGTATTTAAGGTTTTGAACACCGTAACTTTGCACATTTTAATGGATTTTTCTGTACCTTGTTTGTTAATTTTGGACCGAATAGAGATAATTCACACTGATTACAGTTTTGCTCAAATATTTCTTTTAATTCTGGAAAAGTATGTGAATTTTTTTTTTTTTTATGTGATCCATTTTTTTTTTTTAAGTACTAATACAGGTTATGCAGACTGTCATTGATAATTGTACGATTTAATGATCAAGTCATTGTAAGTCATGTCAGCAATGGCTGTTATCAGCTTTCAATATAAAAGTGTGAATTTTGAAGCATTTAGGTTTTAATCATCTTTATTCTTTTCATTTCAGATAATAAACAGTATTGTTGAAGACTGGGGGTTTTGAGTGCCTCTCCAATATATAGGTGCCATAGTTGCCTAGCAACCTAAATGGATTGCCAGGACCAAGGATGACCATGATAACAAGGTTTGTGAAAAGTTATGGTGATGAAGAGGCTCCTTTCCTAAATCTCAGTCTAAGTCTCATTCTTCAGACTTCACTCTCTCCCTCCGCCCGAACATTTTGCCTAATTGCTTTCAAGTAGCTTTTGAAGGTGATAAAAATCCCGCAACAGAGGCCTCTCAAAAGAACAGAATTCATTTATAAATTTACAAGTTTTTTTCATTCACCACCTGTTCTGTTGGGCTATCATTTGGTACACATTTTTGAGTGTGATTCGGCCAACTGTGGTCTAATTGAACACTTCTAGAGAGGCGGGGAATCCTCAGGTGTGCTAAATAGTCATCTTAATCATGTCCCCAAGTGTTTTGTGCAAATGCTCTCTTGGAAAGTCTGAATACGAGTGCCTGCAGAGAAAGGAGTCCTCGCCAAATCAGTTGTGATATTGTGTCAAAATGTTTCCAATGTGTTTGAAGACCTCAGTGCTTGGCTTAACTTGAAGTGGTAGGGAATTAGATTGCACATTTTCCTACCACACCTGTTGGCTTTGTATGTAATTGGTCACTGATTTTATATAACTATTTTAAAACTGTGCAATTTCTTTGTTATGCTGCTGTTGCCAAACTATCTGCTCATGGGAAGTCCGCACAGATTGAATGCAGGAGAGACCTATAACAAAAATCGAGTGAAGGGAAGGCCTAGGTTAGTAGGGTATGGAAAAAAGTTTGACAAGAGGGAAGGTCTAGGTTAAAAAAGGCATACAACA